TAATTTCGTAGTTTTACATGCAATGTTTCATCGAACTATATTGACATATTGATTACCTTTTTCGTGCAGCTCCTGGAAAACAGGAATAGTAAAAATGTCATTAGAGTGTGAAACACACTTCACAAGTATCAACATGTCACATCATAAATGCAATGGAGAGAGACAAATGCCTTTTCTGTAAATTACTGTAGATTGAAACTATAAAAATACATACATTGTACTTATACTATGTACCTTTAAGAATGTTTGTAGCTCTGTACCCCTTCCGGTACAGCACAATTAGAACAGATCCTCCAATGAGCAGGGTAAGAAGAAAGGTTCCTGCTGTCGCTCCTGCTAATACACCTGTACTGATACATGAAGCTTCGAGTTTTTCCTGGTCTGGTGGATCTATAATGTAATCAAAACAGCATAAAATATGACTGTGAATTGTATGCATTTGTGGTTCAACTGAGCCTTGTGCAATATTCTAGTAACAAGCACAAGCCCAGCACAAGTCATTAGTGTGTGTGCCAAGCTAACACACAACGTTTTCTCGGCGTTTCCGGTTGTACATTGGTAATGTCATGATACAACGTTGTCGCAACTTTAATATGACGTCATTTTATAACGTTATTTCACACCGTTACAGCAACATTACATACATACGTTGTCAAAACGTCGTGTATCGACTGTTACGCACTGTTATGATTCATCGTTTCTTAAACGGTGGTGCGACGTAAAGTGTCTCTTTCCCGATAATTGCAAGAACAAGAGCGTACATCGAATTATTTGTAATTTCTGTAGAAAACAAGACGATAGTGCCTTGTTTTCTATTTTTTTTCACTTTGGGATTTCCATCCCATTAATATACTAAAGTCACAGAGACGTAAGTTCCATTCTTTCTAATTACGTTATTATCACATCACCGTTGCAAGTTTACGTTGAGGAAACGTTATGCATTGGGCTCCTCACAAGTATGATAACAATATTTTTATATATAGTTTTCTGTAAAACCCTTAGGATAAAATTCACTTTGGGATTCGTTCTTCACTATTCATCTGTAGATGCTACCCTTGCAATCGGTGGTTTGTAATATAAATGACACATGCTAAATTCCAAAGACGAGTACAACGTATAAAGCTCACTTGGACGTTTGTTACAATATCTTAGTGACATGGATGTCGGTCTGTAAACAGTCGATCAGACCATGCAGTGACTTGATAACATGCATCAGTAGAGTCTGACCACCAGAACCAGTTAGTCACCGTTTACAACAAGCATGGGTCAATGAGGACCAGTCCTTCCCCAGTTCCCCAAGGAGTTCATTCCCAGTGTTATTCACTCCCATCCTCATCACACCAAACCCCGACATAAATGTTTACTATAAATCCAAAGATTTGCGAAACGATTTGTTTAAATCAACGTTGATTGTGCATATTCATATTTACGCCCTTATATCTGATGATGAATTGATATCTTCACACGAAAACGTTTCACACTTTTACACCAACTATACGTAGTCTATATAAGTATATTTATTCAGATATATGGTCATTTACCTTCCCTTTGTGAAACACGAAGCACTCAGAAATTACTCTTTTTCTTTTCTCTGAATATATACCAAAATAAGAAATTGTACATGAAAGGTACCCATATGTTTCCTTCAGATGCAGCAGCCACGTTTAGATACATAGTGTAACCAGTGAGTGATGCTCATCAAGACACACTTACCACCCACAGTCACTGCTTCTACCAATACATATCCATCAGAATCCCCGTAGTCATTTTTAGCTTGTAGTCGGATAATGTAAATCCCTCCAGTTGTAAGCCCAGTCACTTCCACAACCATCATCTCGTCAGTGTCATCATAAGATTTATACACAGTCCACGTTCGTGTAGCAAACTGACGATACTCAATCAGAAACGTCTGAGGGCGTCCACCATTGAACCCAGGCAGCCACGACAACCATACCGACGACGTTGTTGCATTATCCAGATCTCTAAACTGTGCAGGTGTCTGAGGTGGCCCTTACAAGAAATAACCATATAAAAACGTAATTATTGTAATCATATGTAATTCCATTGGTTGAAAAGTTCAAAAGAAAACTGAGGACAATTGTTATGGATATACAACTTATTCCTGCTTGACAACGATATTAGAATTTATTTCGATCATAACGTCACTGATGTATATCCAAAGTTGTATATCCAAAAAAGTTGAATCTGGTAAGCCTCAATGGTAAATCTGAAAGCATAACACACCTACAGGCACTACGTTGACTGTGTATGTGACTGGACTCCCAATGCCATTGTCCACTGTCAGACTGTAGTCCCCAAAGTCCTGCTGCTGGAGGTTAGTAAGGTGTAGTCTGGCAGTGACTGAGCTGTTTGAGACAGGGCTGGAGGAACCAGTGAGGTCCTGGCTGGTGCTGATGGATCTACTCCAGGTGAATGTAGGAAGGGGGTAGGCCAGGACTGACACAGACACAGTCACGTCACCACCCAGTCTAGCAGCGAACTTGAGTTGCTGGGACACTGAGTCAACAAGTCGCTGAGAACCTGGTATATGTACAACAGCATAATTGCGATTCAAGAATCAGTAACGTGTCACATAGGGAAAGGCCGCACTTACAGTTGGTAATGAGTGAGTGAGTGAGAGAGTTTAGTTTTACACCGCCATTATCCGTATTCCAGCAATATCACTGCGGGGGAACACTAGAAATGGGTTTCACACATTGCATCCATGTGGGGAGTAATCGACTGATAAAATGTCGATTTAAGAAAACTACCATAAAACAGTAACAGAAGTTCTGGTCATCCAGATTGTGGCCGTTTTAGTTTTTTAGTTTGTCTGTGTGCGTTTGCATATAGCAGAGAGTACTTCTACGTTGCAAGATCAAACGTATACTTTTAGTATCAAATTGTATTACCAAATCTAACATATTTACGCTAAATTATAACCTAACTAAACTACAATACACATAGAATGGCCAAATGGTTATTACATTTAACCAGCAACTCCACCGTCTGGGTGACAGGTGCCCCAATGATGTTAGTGGCAGTACAGGAGTAGTTCCCTCTTTGTCTACAGTTTGCTGACTCCAGTCTGTATGTTGCTGTCATGGAGTTATCTGCCCTTGTCAACTCCTCAGATCCATTCAGTAACCTGATGACTGACTTTGGATTACTGTCAACCTGGCAACTCAGTGTCACTGTATCAGACTCGTTAACTGTCACTGGGCCACTTTCTGAGTTGGCGGTGAACGTTCGTATGCTTGCTGGGTCTGAAAGAAACAACTGTGAGTGTGTTTTTGTAATATTCATTGATTATTCATTGACGTTGCTTGTTCATGTGTTGATTTAAATAATTCCAACAATACAAAACATCGTTGATGTAAAAAAATGATATCGGAATCTGTCATCTTTTCATTGCCACATTTCATCTGTGTACACAGCAGGGCATAATATAAACTCAGACATTTTTGTGACATTCCTTCGAACATTACTGTGACGATGTGAATACGTGAAATCCACCATGTCGACAATCTAATCCCTTCTGATGTAAATTATTTAGTTGACTAATTATATAAGTGTTTTTCTGACTAAACCGTGAATGTTAAGCATTACTCAAGCGGCCGCAGCCTTTGGTGTCATGTCACAGTTTCTGAGGTACAATCAAGCATGACCTTTCTATAGCGACCCCTATGAGTCTCAACGTTGTTTGAACAAGGTGACAACGTTCAATGGCTTATTAAAAGTTTCTAAACGTTTTCAGATTTTTCCACATTTGCCGCATCTGTCGCAGATATGATGGTTAATGGCATCCCCTGTTTTCACGGTTAACGTGTTCCCGTGCTTGTTTTCCAGCTTACACTTGGTATCGTTATTTGAGAGTGATTCATAAACGGATGATACATCCGGATCCTTACAAGCAACTCAGCTTTGCATGTGGAAAAGGTTTTTGGTTAATAAATCATGTATTATTCACACACACACAGGTTAGATATATAAAATCAAATTTGTGTTTCAAGGCCACAACGCCTAATACACGAAAGTGGCTTCACACGTTGCATTCATGTGAGGCATTGGACCCTGGCATTCGACATGACCAGCGAGCTCTTGTGCTAATATGCGGTAATGGTAAGCTGTATTCAAGACCCATGTGTGCCTTCTATTAATATTTAGGGTGGTAAATATATAGGTGGATTTTGTCAATGTTAATAAACAACAGATCAGATGTCAGCTGGAACACATACATACTGTTATGCTGGACTGGTCAAATTAACTTCTTTTAGACGTTCACCTTACAAGTGTTTCACTATTCGCCGGACGTCTATTTACACACCAAATACATTGTCGTTTGCATGGTTGATAGCTGGTGACGATCATGACGAGATGTGGGTAATTTCGATAGTGAATGAATTGTTTTGTGCCATACCGAGGTTCACTTATATGAAAAATGTGATAGAAGACTAAGCCTAATTTTCACTGATCAATGATACCTTCAACTGCATTGACGGAACTGATAATTTAATGGAATGGGCCAACTCACCTAATAGTGTTAACGTGATTCCACATATACAGTCAACAGAGCATATCTGCATAGTAATAAAGAGTTACATATATTTATAAAACATGTAACTGAAAACAAACTATAGAATTCTTTTAGACCTGCTGCCCACACTATTCCCAGCAGTTGCAATATGGCGCACAGCATGATGGATAATGCAACTGGTGGCTATGATGAGATAGATAGTGACGTCGTCGCAGTCACATCTTGCATACAGAAACTACAAAAGAAAATGTATAAAGAGTTTGTGATGTTGATTGTGATACGGTGACACCTCACAGAAGTAGCTAGACCTTTGTTCCCTGTCAAAACTCAAATACAGCCCGAGTAGAACAGTAGAAAGAACTGTACCGCTCCAGTAGAACGGTAGATCCGCCATGTGACTATAGTTTATCTATAAGGTAGAGAAAGACTATTGTTACTGAATGTCTAAAGACCGGTTACTTACATTGCACATCCACATTGACTGAGTCTGAATCTGATCCCTGCTTGTTGCTGGCAGTACAGATGTAGTCTCCACCCTGACTCCTGCTGATGTTCCTTCTGTCAAGTACAGTAGAACCACCATAGGTCCATGTGTAGCTTGTTGTAGGAGGGTTGCCTGGTGTGGTGTAGGTGCTACAGTCTATCCTGAGGTTAGAGAACTCTGTGACGGTCTGTGTTGATGGTAGTCCAGATATAGACGGTGGATCTATAGATTACAAATCGAATTGCTAAATTCAGCTGACGATTGTTAACTTGTGGCTATCCAAATTTAGTGGTTATACAAGATCAGAATGTGCAACATGGTACCTGTTCAGAAACGTTTTTGTTCGTGATCCGTAAAATAACGGCAAGAAACAGTGTTACAGGTAGGTGAAGGTATCGGGATAACTCACACTGCACGTCCACATTGACTGAGTCTGAATCTGATCCCCGAGTGTTGCTGGCAGTACAGGTGTAGTCTCCTCCCTGACTCCTACTGATGTTCCTTCTGTCAAGTACAGCCCCAGTACTGACAGTAGAACCACCATAGGTCCATGTGTAGCTTGTTGTTGGAGGGTTGCCAGGTGTGGTGTAGGTGCTACAGTCTATCCTGAGGTTAGAGAACTCTGTGACAGTCTGTGTTGATGGTAGTCCAGATATAGAAGGGGGGTCTGAAATGAGTAGTCAGTGACATGTTGGTAAATACTTGTGTGCATTAACTGAGTCTGAAACCCGACTGTTAATGACAGCTCAGAGTAGCTTCCAACCTGGTGTAGGTACTAATGTATATCAAGGAACGGAATGACTCCATCACTGTGTAGGTGGAAGGGAGGTTAGATGTTGATGTGTACATACATACATTCCGTATGCTGTATTCTTAAATCACGTCTAGTTCACAAGCGTACATTGCATTTAATGTTGAAGAATTATGTTTTTGCATAACAATGTTAATGAAAACACAGGACAATGCCTTATCATAAATATTCATCTTTTGAAAAATGACACAATGTATGTGTAGTTTCATTTCAAATTGTTTCTTAAAAATATGTCTGGATGCACGAAAGGTGTACTTTGTGTGAAGTATAGTTTATACGTCATAATACTGAAGCAATGCGGGTGGATTCTTCAGGGATGATATCTATAATTCAGAAAGATATCTATATAGGAGTAATTTGACCGAATCACCACGTGTATAATGCTTTCTGAAGTGAAGACGCGCAGGTCCTGTGCATGGGTTCTGTAATCCATACATGTATCATATTAAATAATATTTACAACATATCTGTGTTTAATCATCTGCACTCAGTTGCTGTACATTATGAATCCATTATGTTATGGAGATTATCATTGGATCAGGAAAACAAAGGTAGGTAATGAATATAAGTATCATAATCCATCATACATTTCTGCCCAAAGCAGACTGGATTGTACGATTCCGATGATACCATCCTTTATGAATCATTATCACATAGTGATGCCATAATATCATCTGAAAATGCCAAAAATAAATGATGTGTATATTACCACACTTGAACGTATCAGTACATGCACACTGAAACGTATATGTTTGAATCAATTATATAACAATGAAAGGAAGACTTCGTTCGTGTCCAATTAGGTATTTTTTTTTCATCAGTACACACAGTGCACTGCACTTTGTAAAGTATATAGATTAAATATTAGATTATGTCACATATATATATATATATATTTTATATTGATGGAACAGGCAGTCGTTTGATAATTCATGCTGTTGGGTTGCATGCATACTTACTCAACACAGAGGCAGTGACATCAGCATAACCAGAACCTGACAGTGAAGTCACTTCACACCTGTAGGTCCCGGCATAGCTGGAGGTCACGTGACTGGCAGGCAGCTGGATGTCGAGGGAGGAGGTGTAGTCACCAACAAACACGCCCTTGTCCTTCCAGGAGTCAAAGAATCCAGCTGTCTGAGCAGTCACTGATCCACTGGCTATGTTCACTGTAGAGCTGCCCTCCACCCTCCTCCATGTGAACTCAGTAACAACATCCCCAGATGTCACAGTATAGCTGCATCCCAGTGCCAGGGCCTGCTGGTTGGGTATCCCTGTACCTCCTGACCCTGATACAGTCACTGCTCCCTCAACACCTGGAAATAAGTAACAATATCACCAGGTGTCACAGTGTAGCTGCATCTCAGTGTCAGAGCCTGCTGGTGGGGTATCCCTGTACCTCCTGACCCTGATACAGTCACTGCTCCCTCAACACCTGGAAATAAGTAGCAATATCACCAGGTGTCACAGTGTAGCTGCATCTCAGTGTCAGATTCTGCTGGCTGGGTATCTCTGTACCTCTTGACCCTGATACAGTCACTGCTCCCTCAACACCTGGAAATAAGTAACAACATCACCAGGTGTCACAGTGTAGCTGCATCTCAGTGTCAGAGTCTGCTTGTTGGGTATCTCTGTACCTCTTGACCCTGATACAGTCACTGCTCCCTCAACACCTGGAAATAAGTAACAACATCACCAGGTGTCACAGTGTAGCTGCATCTCAGTGTCAGAGCCTGCTGGTTGGGTATCTCTGTACCTCTTGACCCTGATACAGTCACTGCTCCCTCAACACCTGGAAATAAGTAACAACATCACCAGGTGTCACAGTGTAGCTGCATCTCAGTGTCAGAGTCTGCTTGTTGGGTATCTCTGTACCTCTTGACCCTGATACAGTCACTGCTCCCTCAACACCTGGAAATAAGTAACAACATCACCAGGTGTCACAGTGTAGCTGCATCTCAGTGTCAGAGTCTGCTTGTTGGGTATCTCTGTACCTCTTGACCCTGATACAGTCACTGCTCCCTCAACACCTGGAAATAAGTAACAACATCACCAGGTGTCACAGTGTAGCTGCATCTCAGTGTCAGAGCCTGCTGGTTGGGTATCCCTGTACCTCCTGACCCTGACACAGTCACTGCTCCACAAACACCTGGAAATAAGTAACAGTATCACCTGGTGTCAGAGTGTAGCTGCATCTCAGTGTCAGAGCCTTCTGGTTGGGTATCCCTGTACGTCCTGACCCTGATACAGTCACTGCCTCCCAGCATCTGGAAATAAGTAACAACATCACCAGGTGTCACAGTGTAGCTGCATCTCAGTGTCAGAGCCTGCTTGTTGGGTATCTCTGTACCTCCTGACCCTGATATAGTCACTGCTCACCCAACGTCTGACAACAAGAAATATGTGGCAGGTCTCTGACGAGCACATGTATCTTCCTGATAAATCAGGGATCATAGTCTGGGTAAATCTGCGTCTTCTACACATTTTTATCAAACCCCGAAAACCATTTCCTCGATATCAGTATATTCCGTAACCCCTTTGCGCTAGACCTTCCCTCGATAACAGCACGCACTATGTACGTCTGTAAAAATGATAGAGATTGAGTATTAGATGCAAAGTAAGTACTAGTATTTAATTTAGAAATAGTTTCCTGCTTCTAATAATCATAAATAACAATTAATCTGACTTACTTTTCAACAGGACAACTGCAATCACAGATGTTGCTATAATACGAAGGGACGCCATTGACAGCAGTGTTCTGAAAAGGTAAAAGAACAATAAACATTCCCATTCTCATATTTAATTGTGGATTTGTGGTCTGATACATTTAAATAATGTGCAAGATATGAGACATGTAGCGTGTCTAGCAATGAGTTATGGTATATTCTGTACGTGTTGATACGGTCTGGCTGCCCAGTCACTATAGCAGCTCTGCTCCCTCTGATTGTGGTTTCTCGGCTTCCCACAACCATACCTGTACTCGTGGGTTTGAAGTGCTGCATACCTGACATTTACGCCACTCCAACGTTTACTACCACTCTGAGTTGACCTGATTAAAATGGAATACTGTTTATAGCGACGTTAACCCAACACCCAAACCCAATTCAGGCTGTGCAGCTCATTCAAGAGAATGTGTCAGTCTGGGGACCCATCTGAAAAAATGAGCTCTCTAATTGATATGCAGTATTCCAGAGTGAGTGAGTGAGTGAGCTAAAATATCGTCACCTCGGCAATATTTCAGCCATATCGTGACGAAACAATCAATTGCTATACATAGTAATTAATGGTAAATTATAAAAAAAACATGTCAACGAAGGGCAATAGAATAACTAGATTATCAAAGAAATAAATTTAAAACTTGTAATAACATCTGAAACATCTTAACTATATATGACAATTCAATATAAAAAACAGGCTATAGATTGCTACCAACTGAAGGTAGATCACAATACTAGGGACCATGGGGACTTACAGTACATTTGTTTTCTGATTGTAAGTCTCAATGGTCGCTGGTACTTTCAGTTTCTGGCGATCTGTTGCCTGTTGTATATTGTTTTGTTTAATATAGTGATATATTTTAGTATAACGTGCTTGTTTTAAACCATAAATGTGATACTCTGTCGTATTTATTGTACTTTAGTGATTGGTTATTGTATAGAGTTATTGAAGTTGAATGTATAGATTGGTCCCGTCACGACATGGCTGAAATATTACCGATGTGATGTTAAATATTAACTCACTCACTCAGTCCATACCGGTGTGAACAGATGCTGGCGACTTTGGTGTTGTGACCTAAGGGTATTGTGAACTCCCTATCTCTTTAAACAATCCCAGTCACACCAATGCCTGCTCATTAAGTAACAATGCAGGTAGTGATAGGTGTTTTAATCAATCTATCACGTACAGATGATCCGTACACATGTATACCGCTAGAAACTAGGTCAACGTATAAGAGTTTATCAACATATATAGCGGATTATTCATATACAGTGGCATGAATCGAATAAGACTTAGTGTTCACAGTTGACATGTTCAACAGGGCGGAAGAAGTAAACACAGACACATTAGATGTTTTGTGATAACGATAGAAGATATACATTATACATACCTTCTGATACTTGCGGTTGTCAGGTATAAACCGTCACTGTAGTTGTCGAGTGTAAGCCGGGTAGCTCAACACGGAAGTAATATACAGTTGTACACGCATATCACTCGCTTCCAAGTAGTTCAGTTGTATTTAAATATAGCGCTGTCGAGTACGCCACCATACTCTGTGTGTCATTGATTTTAATATTATGTTGACATACACACAAACATTGCAATCTCTCACATACACAGATGCATATAAAACTCCACTGATGTATATCCAGCCATACCCTTTAGTATCAATACGTCGTTTGCTTCAAGATAAATGGGAGATGTACGTGTGAACGCTTCGCGCACACTTATTCACAAATACAGAACATACTTGCTTGTGTTTCTTTGAAGATCAGCTGGAAAAAGGCGTGACTCTTTTGGTTTAAATTCATGGGTCCGGCATTGACACGCCATATGCTTCTGTCTACACAATACGGCCAATTTACGCTGTATTCTTGTATATCTGTGTCTGGCCAGTGAGTGTATAGGGGTATTACACCGTCAGTCGTTACCCATAAATCCTGACAAAGGCCTTCAAAAAGTCTAATGACTGAAAGAATACTACTTCCGTCTGTCTCTTATCTTATGAACTAACTGTAAATTCTTGTGAGTAATACAATTTATTGATGTACATAGTGGAGTTACATTATTACATGTAGAACGGTCTCGAGAAGTCCATCCTCTATTTACATCGAGCAACGGAATCATATGACAATGGAATTTCCTCGAGGGCATTTTTTTTTTGTCAACATATCTCAAATATCGTGTTTAGGCTAACCACCTAACTGTTTAAAGGAAAACTTCTCACTGGGGTACAAGGGTGCTAGTTGACTACTGAATGTGGGGACATGATACAAATGACACCCACCTTGTGCACGTCTATTTTCACCTGGATGGTGTTTACCTGGTTACTGAAAACATAGCTAGGTTTCAACTGATAACTGTGAATGGCTTTATTGGTTGCTGTACATCATGTTGCTGTTGTCATTTGTAATTCACTTCCGTGTTGTGTTGATTACGCGGTTTGTTATTTGTGGAGTTATCCTGGTTGCCTTCTTAGTATAGTAGTCCCACAGTAAACTGATATGGAAGCCGATGTGTGACGAGGCTCTGATTCCCTCTGGTATTTCTATGGCTTGTGAATGTTAAACGTTTCATGCTCTCGGACTTTAGTTCCTATTTAGGTGGTAACTAAACAACCTTTCAGGCCTTTATTGCATTGACATAAAACTTTTTTTGCGTTGACAGTCAACCTTTACACCAAATCATGACGTATGACAACATATTTTATTTCCTGTTATAGACACATTTGGCTAGTCATGATCCCTCGATCAGAAGTAAATGATGTGTGCTGTCCGTAAAATCAGGTTTTCTTTGTGACAGATGCTCAATGCAACAGCATTAACTAATAACTACTTAATGTTTGCTGAGATTCACCACTTTAATCAAATTATACACATATGTTGAAATAGCAAACGATAAAACTCAAAGTCAAAGAAACAAATTCCTCGTCGAAAAAGACGAACTGTCATTTGCGGGAATGTGATCCATCTGATACCCCAACAACCTAAGGTGCCCCATGTTGTTTTAGGCTCCCAATAAGTGTTCAATAAGGATGACTGCCCCGCAGGGTGAGTATTGCAGAGTTCTTGTATAGTTGTCCGGGCGCCCTGCGAGGTTGCTCCGACGGGCATTACACATGACCCCGGCACGATGAGGTCTTCTCTGTTTCCCTGTCATTGTATAGTTCTTGTATAGTTGTCAGGGCGCCCTCAGAGGGTGCTCCGACGGGCATTACACACGACCCCGGTACGATGAGGTCTCAGGTACATACCAAGATGTCTTCTCTGTTTCCCTGTAAACTCCGGTATAATTGGATATCAGTTTTACAATCTGTCTTGTCTGGCCAATTACATTTCTTGCTTTCTGGCTCCATTTATGTATATATCTTTCTACATGATCACCACATGTGATGTGAAATATCCAATGATAAATGATCGACAAACAGAAAATGAGCATCCCCATCATGAACTGAACTTTAAATGAAAGAAATTAACAAAGATTTTTGCCTCCAAGCAATAATGCACTGTCCTTAACGAGTATTTTATCCATATCTGACACCGAAGTCATGATGTATACCCTTGAGTTTCTTTAGGTATTTCCATGGTCAGGACCTGCAAAGTACACAACTAAAGGCGATTAAACATACACATATGCTGAACATTCAGACGTATTAAACTGGAACAGAAGAGAAAGTACATGATGATGATTACTGATGTTAAGAGATTTAATGGAAACAGTGGATCCATGAAGATGACGACCAAGACGTCAATCAACAAGAGTGTTTCCTGGTTTGGTTACCTTGTGGATATGCCCCAGCGTTTTGGTATGGCGATGCTCTGATTGACTCATAAGTCACAGGGGGAGTCTCTGTCACGCCTTCATAGGTACTTGTATCTCCTGCAGCATCTTCTGAAGATAGTACACATGTTTCATGAAAAGATTCGAATGAAATTAATCGGACATCAAATCCATGTAAACACTTGAGATTCGTCTTCATTGAATGACAGGCATCTACCTTTTGTATTCTCATAAATCTTCAACTGTGTGTACTGTTGTTTTTCAGATTGCTCCTCCACATTTGAATACTGCGCTGGAGCCGTGATCTGATCTTAAACACATTGTAATGATTTAGTGCTAACAGATCCAGAGATGGTTGTAATACCAACCAGAGGGAAACGCCCAGCAGCCAGTACATACCTAGAGATGAATATCCTCTGTTGTCCATTTCCACAGGTTCAGGATAGCTAGAGCTGCAAAACAGGAACAGGTCAGGTTTGAAATAAAACAACCGGGTGATAAACATCATAATATAAAAAAAGTAATATATTTTCAGTTAACCTATTGTAAGTTACTACCTAATTTCTTAGTTTTACATGCAATGTTTCATTGAACTTTATTGACATATGGATTACCTTTTTCGTGCAGCTCCTGGAAAACAGAAATAGTAAAAATGTCATGGAGTGTGAAACACACTTCACAAATAACAACATGTCACATCAATCATTAACGAAATGGAGAGAGAGACGGATAACGTTTTCTGTAAATTACTGTGGATGGAAACTATAAAAATGCATACGTTGTACTTATACAATGTACCTTTTAGAATGTTTCCAACTCTGTACCCCTTTCGGTACAGCACAATTAAAACCATCCCTCCAATGACCAGGGTAAGAATAATGCCTCCTACTGTAGCTCCTGCTAATACCCCTGTACTGATGGATGACGCTTCGAGCTTTTCCTGGTCTGGTGGATCTATAATTTAATCAAAACACCATAAAATATGACTGAGAATTGTATGCATTTGTGGTTCAACTGAGCCCTGTGCAATAATTCTAGTGACAGGCACAAGCCCCGCACAAGTCATTAGTGTGTATGCCAAGCTGACACACAACGTTTTCTCGGCGTTTCCGGTTGTACATTGATAACGTCATGATACAACGTTGTCGCAACATTAGTATGACGTCATTTTATAACGTTATTTCACACCGTTACAGTACCATTACATACATACGTTGTCAAAACGTCGTGTCTCGACTGTTACACACTGTTATGATTGATCGTTTCTTAAACGGTGGTGCGACGTAAAGTGTCTCTTTCCCGAAAATTGCAAGAACAAGGGCATACATCGAATTATTTGTAATTTCTGCAGAAAACAAGACGGTAGTGCATTATTTTCTATTTTATTCCACTTTGGGATTTCCATCCCATTAACATGCGAAAGTCACAGAGACGTAATTTCCATTCTTTCTGATAACGTTATTATCACATCACTGTGCAACCTTGTGTCACAACGTAATAACACCGTTGCAAGTTTACATTGAGGAAACGTTATGCATTGGGATCCTCACAAGTATGATAACAACGTTTTTTTCTAAACTTGGTGTCACGACAAAGTTTTCTGTAAAACCCTTAGGATAAAATTAACTTTGGGATTCGGTCTCCACTATTCATCTGTAGATGCTACCCTTGCAAGCGGTGGGTTGTAATTTAAATGACACATGTTAAATTCAAAAGATGAGTACAACCTATAGAGCTCATTTTAAGCTTGGACGTTTGTTGCAATATCTTAGTGACATGGACGTCGGTCTGTAGACATTAGATCAGACCATGCAGTGACTTAATAACAAACATCAACAGAGTCTGACCACCAGAACCAGTTAGTCACCGTGTACAACAAGCATGGGTCAATGAAGACCAGTTCCCCAAGGAGTTCATTCCCAGTGTTATTCACACCCATCCTCATCACACCAAACCCCGACATAAATGTTAACTGTAAAACCAAAGATTTTCGAAACGATTTGTTTAAATCAACGTTGATTGTGCATATTCATATTTTCACCATAATATCTGATGATGAATTGATATCTTCACACGATGTATATTAACTATACTTAGTCTACATTTATTCAGCTATGTGACCATTTACCTTCCCTTTGTGAAACATGAAGTGCATTAGCCTACAAGGACTCAGAAATTACTCTTGTTCTTTTATCTGAATATGTACCCAAATAAGAAATTGTTCATGAAAGGTATCCATATATTTCCTTCAGATGCAGTGAACAGGTTGTCCATGAGATACTAAGAGTAACCAGTGAGTGATTCTCGCCAAGATACACTTACCACCAGCAGTCACAGCTTCTGTCAATACATTTCCATCAGAATCCCCGTAGTCATTTCTAGCTTGTAGTCGGAATATGTAAGTCTCTCCAGGTAATAGCCCCGTCACTTCTACCACCATCATCTCGCCCCTATCATTATAAGATTCATACACAGTCCACGGTCTTCTGCAAGACTGAAGATACTCAATAAGAAACGTCTGAGGGGGTCCACCGTTGACCCCAGGCAGCCACGACAACCACACCGACGACGATGTTGCATTATTCAGATCTCTAAACTGTGCAGGTGTCTGTGGTGGGCCTTACAAGAAATAAACATACAAAAACGTAATTATTGAAGTTGTAATTCCATTGGTTGAAAAGTTCAAATGGAAACTGAGGATAATTGTTATGGATATGCAATTTATTCTTGCTTGACAACGACATTAGAATCTATGTCGATCGAAACGTCGCCTATACAGCATAAAGAAGTTGTATATCCACGAAAAGTGTCGTCATACTTCATCTCCGCAACCTCTAGAATGTCAATCAAACAAGTTCAAATGAAGGTAAATGAAAGAAAAAATAATAGAAAAAAGTTGAATCTGGTAAGCTTCAATTGTAAATCAGAAAGCATAACACACCTACAGGCACTACACTGACAGTGTATGTGACTGGACTCCCCACGCCATTGCCCACTGTCAGACTGTAGTCCCCGAAGCCCTGCTTTTGGAGGTTAGTAAGCTCTAGTCTAGCAGTGGCTGAGATGTCTGAGACAGGGCTGGAGGAACCAGTGAGGTCCTGGCTGGTGCTGATGGATCTACTCCAGGTGAATGTAGGAATGGGGTAGGCCAGGACTGACACAGACACAGTCACGTCACCACCCAGTGTAGCAGCGAACTTGAGTTGCTGGGACTCTGAGTCATCAAGTCGAGGTGGACCTGGTTAAATTCAGGGAATATAACTGATATTGGCCCAGGAACACCTACTAGCCCTGTCACACATGAAGGGAAAGACGAAGATCAAACTTACAGCTAGTTATGTGACTGATTCATAAATACATGGCTCGTGTTTATAGATAATAACATATTTTCATCCTTTGTATTTCTTGCTCCATCATCAGGTGAAGTGACTGAATCAGTAGATCAAGTAGCAAATTCATGTACGTACCCGAAAACAATTACAGAGGAATTATTCTGCAGGATTGTTTATGCTTCTCAAATTCAGTTTGTGAGTTTGCCAGACCGTTCACGATACTTCTTAGCAATAGACTAAGACATATCTAAAACCTCACATGAGTATAATCATAACACTATCATGCGAGCCTTGTATCCAAAGGCATTACTTGTGCCTGCCCATAAAGAGTGTGAAATAATTACGTTATGATGACAATCACCTGTACCTGTACACATGTAACCACCATTTGCTGAAATACAAATTACTCACATTTAACCAGCAATTCCACCCTCTGGGTAACAGGTCCACCGATGTTGTTGGTGGCAGTACAGGAGTAGTTCCCTCTTTGTCTACAGTCAGCTGACTGAAGTCTATATGTTGCTGTCAGAGAGTTGCCTGCCCTTGTCAACTCCTCAGATCCATTTAGTAGTGTGATGACTGACCTTGGGTTACTTTCAATCTGGCATCTCAAGATCACTACATCAGACTCGTTAATTGTCACTGAGTCACTGTGAGAGTTCACAGTAAACGTGCTGATGTTGGCTGGGTCTGAAAAGAAGAACCACTGTATCATTGATATTGTATTATCTGAAACTAAATGGCTGAACAATGTGAGGTTTTCCAAAAGGGAAAAAACAGTAAACATACATGTGGGCTGTGTCTGGAAATAAGAACAACTGCATCATTGACATGGTATTGGTTAAAACAAAGTGGCTAAACATTTCAGTTTGAAATCAGTATGGTATACGGAACACTGACTGTAACACTGTCACCATTGTAGACTATACACTTACACTGAACATCTACACTCACTGTAACACTGTCACCAGTGTAGACAATATACTTACACTGAAAATCAACACTGACTGTAACACTGTCACCAGTGTACATGATGTGGCAATGATACTGTGTGTACGATTTATCACTAGATTTGCATATACGTCCACACCTTTACAAAGACACTCAATTAATGATTTCAAAATGACCGTGAAAAGAACTTTGAAAACTATTTAAAAAAGTCTACTCAAATAGAAGCATCAAATGACTGAGTGATTGATCATCTGGTATTTATCAACTTATCTGATGCCATTCGAATAAGCATCAGTTTGTGGAAATTAGGTTTTGTGGTTTCTGTCACAAACTCTTTCTTTGCAATTGGGTACATTGCTCAATTGTCCCCCTTTTCCAATTTACCAATAGTTTTTGACAAGCACAACGGTCCTCAGTGTGCTTCAAGTGTATTAATGCTGTTCAAAGGTTCTTGCTCGGTCGATTTCAGAAGCGCGGCACTTCCGATGCTTGAGACGTGATGCTGTGTCTCGGGATATAGCAATAGAGGATATATTTCCGTTTCATCTTGGGACATTTTGCCCAAGTACACCTGTCGCTTAACACCGTGCACATTTCGACACTCTATTATCAGTAGCCCACAGTCCTCAGTACTTCATGAAAGAACTTCCATTATCGGTTTAGAAATTGTCATATTTTCACGCATCGTGTATGTATAAATGTGTAGAAATATTTACATGTTACGATTAGATTAGACATACAAGTGCGGGTAGTCGTTGTGCGTACTCACACTGGGGCTCCATGTTGTACACCTGGCTCCACTCGGATTCCAGTCCCCGACTTTCTCTCGCTCTGCATCTGTAGTTGTGACTGTCCCGGGGAACTCACTGTGAAGGTGTAAGGAGAACCAGGGGAGGTAACTGTGATGTCAGTGTTGTCACGCTGCCAGGTATAGGTCATGGTCAGACCATGGTCAGCTGGGACAGTGGTAGAGGGAGCTGCAGGTCAAGGTCACTTGCTGGTTGTAGACAGGTGTTGTTGACACTGATGGACGACCGGGTGTTGTGGGTTTGCCTTTCAAAATACATGAAGTGTAAATTAGGGACTTGTACATGTGGAATTGTATATGAAATAGAGAAGTGGAAATAAAGAGATTATATTTGTAAAATGTCCAACCAATTGTGACTTTAGAAGTAACTGGCTATGTCAGCTACAGATGGTTTACTGATGTAATAATGTCGACAGGACCACGTACCAAGTATATCTGTGGCTGGTTAATAAAGAACTGTCCAATAGTGACGGTAGTAGTATAGTCTCAGTCGTCACGAACCCCATCCGGATCCCCGCCGGATGAGAGTGCATGCATATGTTAATGTAGGCATGACGTCACAGGTCAGGAAAGGTCAATGAAAAGTGGGTATTTTAATGCAGTCTTGCAATCTTGTAGAAAACCCTTTATAAGACGTAAAAAACAAAAGCAAAGTGTCATGAATAGAGCTATGTATAGCGTGCTGCCCTGAATAGACAGGCAGAGAGTACCTGTCAGCCCAGTTTGAATTGAGCGCGCTTGACAACTCACGTGACCCTATATTCAAATAGCCCGCTAGATCGCTAGATCGTGTGACCTGTTTTGATGAATACAGAGTGTGTGTTGAAAGTACATCATACCACAATAGAGACGGGTTGTGTTAACACTGGGTCGGAATGTCCCGTCATGTAAAATGTAGTTAAATAAATGTCATACAGAACGTGTCCTGTACAAGTCTAACACCATGAAAGTAGTGGATAGTTGTTATGTTTAAATGCTATCGACATAGTTCATACTGTAACGTGATGAAAAGTTTGATTTTGACCCGTGTAATCTAACATGATGTATACAGTTTTAGTTTTACTTCACAGCATGCTATTTTGAAAATAAATGCTTCGAAATACGTATGGATAGAAACATATCTATGTGATTTAGAAAACTGAGAAGTCATGTAGCAGTGTAACAGCATGAAGCTAGGTTTGTTGGGAAAGAGACAGAAGCAATAGATCAGACATGTAGAGGCGAACAACGTGTTTCATGTTTACAATAGTCAACCTTTATTCGAAGAGAGAACATATTTTAACATGGAAGTTTTAAACGCGAGGAAAATGTTTCATTGCAAAAATATGCCGGAGCAGGTTTATTCATAGCTAGTGTGTAGCCGATAGACTAAGCGACTGACTGGCCATAACAATGTCAACATACCGGCCTATCAATGTCAAAATACCGACCTCGCCTACCGGTGAAGCTTCCCATTCATAAACTGTGTGACCAGTGTACCGTATTTAATATATGTTAGGGAAGTTGTGTTGTACATATGTTATTTTTAAAAGGACTTATTTCAGAGGGGTCATTGGTATTCCCCTCATTAAACCTTTGTTTTGTTGTGTGTGTGTGTATTAAATGTAACCGGTATTTAATGCATTTGAATTCTCATGCATACACTTTCTCGGATCCGGCGCGGATACGGATGGGGTTCGTGACGACTAAGACTATAGTACTGACGGTCAGTTGTTGTGGGTTTGGAGCTTGTACAACGTTTTACATAGGTTACATTTGCCTCTACACATTGCATTTCGGTGTCGCTGACACATTTCTGGCCCTTATAGCCGAGGAACCTTTCATTTCCATGACACCATTACGTGTCACGGCGCACGCCAAACAAATTCTTGAGGGGCGGTTTCCCAAAGGTCTCACGAGTAAGTTCAAATAACTGAACTGAGGTTTTGTGTTTATCAATAGTTCGCTGCTACGGTTTTGTATTGCTTGTGTAAGATCTATATATGTTACAGTGAATATGTCAAGTCAGTAATTTGGTAAAATCACATATTTAAGAGACAAGATGCAGAAGGAAGTAAACAGGAAGTACGCCAACATTACCCTCGAAGCGCTGACCATCTTCATCTTGATCGGTATGCAATGCATGTCTAAAGGTCAATTCAAATGGATTATGCATTATCAGGATTATCTCACTAAGTTTTGTGTACTCAGACCTCTAACGTCAGAGCGAGCAACAGAAGTGGCTTACCAGTTGTTAGATATTTTTTCTGTTCATTGGGCACCTGCTATGTTACAACGTGACAATAGATCGGAGTTCACAGCCACCATCATGATCATTGTCTCATCATAAAGATTATTAGTCATTTAGCCATTGAAAAACAATTGCAGCCTTCATAGTAGTGACAATCACTGTCCCCAGTGCGACTTATGCCTGTAATTGGCGACCTACATTTATCTTCTGCTCCCTACTTGGCGTGAACGTAAAGTAAAATTGGCAAAAACATCTGTTTTAGTAGTAAACAAATCCCGGAAATATTGTTTAGGAACTTGTTTGTAAGCTCAGTGTCGAATATATAAATAAATATAAAGGTTCCATATCATATTGAAAAAAATGTTAGGTATATTTACTGTCAATAAAGTTACAGGGGTGACATTAATACCTAAGCTAGTTTGTACCCTGACGTCCCATGTTGTATTTGCGTGCTGATAAGTGATATTGTGCCAAACGAAAATTTGTAAATTAATATATAAACATGATAAAGTACCTGTCTATCTGGTAGATTAGAAACATACTTATCTGCCCTTGATTTGCATGCGCTAAACTGTTTTGCGAATATATGTCTCTGCGCGTAGACGATTATTACAAGGTCCTGTTGTCACTGTTAGAATGGCACAGATAACCACATCGGTTACATTTCGTAGACAAATGCATGTTGACTGTGGGCCCGGAATCAGAATGTAGTACCATATATATGAAGGCCATCACCGAGGTCAGATGTCTTGAAACATTATAAACCTACTGATATTTCAAGACATTACAGATTTAATCATGGAAAATCAAGACCAGTCATATTTGATAGACCGTAAATACATCCTTGAGAGGGTCCCAAACTCGATTTATGTTGTGTAAAACACTGCATGAGTTCAGCTGAATACCTTGGAGCACTTAAGGTTGTATGGGCTTTCCCTGATGGCGTGGGGTCGCAGGATACGCTAGAGATATCCACCAGTCCAACCGAGCCCTCCATCAAGAATGGAACGCAATCAGGAGGAGGTTGGGGATGGTTTCTTTTTCAGTTACACCAGATATTGACATTGTGCTCGGTTATATATTCTCAAGCGAATTCTTGATGAATGTATGCCGAAATCTTGAATATTACCGTACAGACGTATTTCGAAACAATTGGTAGAAGGGACCGGGTCAGTATGTATACTTCCATCACAACAGGTAGAAATAACATTACCATATATTTCCAATCCTACCGGTGGACAATAGGGCCAGTGCATACATTTCCAAAACAACCGGTAGACGGGGTAAGTGCACACATTTCCAATACAACCGGTAGACAACAGAGCCAGTGCATACATTTCCAAAACAACCGGTAGACAGGGTCAGTGCACACATTTCCGGTACAACCGAAGGACAACGGGGTCAGTGCTTACATTTTCAATACAATCGGTAGACAACAGGGCCAGTGAATACATTTCCAATACAACCGAAGGACAACAGGGTCAGTGCATACATTTCCAATACAACCGGTAGACAACAGGGTCAGTACATCCATTTCCAATACAACCGAAGGACAACAGGGTCAGTGTATACATTTCCAATACAACCGGTAGACAACAGGGCCAGTGCATATATTTCTAATACAACCGGTGGACAACAAGGCCAGTGTATATATTTCCAATCCAACCAGTGGTCAACAGGGCCAGTGTATACATTACCAATACAACAGGTGGACAACAGGGCCAGTGCATATATTTCCAATACAACAGGTGGACAGCAGGTCCAGTGTATACATTACCAATACAACCGGTGGACAACAGGATCAATGCATATATTTCTAATACAACTGGTTGACAACAGGGCCAGTGCATATATGCCCAATGCAACCGGTGCACAGCAGGGCCATCGTATATATTTCCAATACAACAGGTGGACAGCAGGTCCAGTGCATACATTTCCAATACAGCCGCTGAACAACAGGATCAGCGATGTATTCACAATACAACCGGTAGACAACAGGGCCAGAGCGTACATTTCCAATACAACCGGCAGACAACTGGGCCAGTGCATACATTTTCAATACAACCGATGGACAACAGGGCCAGTGTATACATTTCCAATACAATCGGTGTAGAACAGGATCAGTATATACATTTCCAATACAAACCCTTGACAACAGGTCGAGTTCATACATTTCAACAGGACCAACACATATATATTTTCGGTGCAACCGGCGGACACACAGGACCAGTGCCTACATTTCCAATATAACCTGTGGCCAAAAGGACCAAAACATACACATTTCCAGAAGTACCGGGAGTAGTGACAGGACCGGTCAATCGTTTCCGATTCAATGTTCTAACTCATATTTACACAATATAATACATAATGTAGTAAACCTGAAATCTAAACAAGTAAAGTACTGTGTGTTATGTCGTCAAGAATACAGCATCCTCCCTCCACATTCTGGAGAATGAGTATATCTGTACGCCGCTTATTCCAACAGATTCACGGCGGGCAACACCAGGAATGAGCCTTACACACTGTACCCATGGAGGGTATTGAATCAGAGCTGTGCCTCCTCCAGAAATTATTTGGAAAATCATTGTTTCCTAATACTGATAATAGAATTTTAAAACAGGTGATACATTATGTAGTAAGGTAGTATGGGAGACAACTCTTGTAGGCTTAAGAATGAACCTTGCTACATCAAGTGTTGTCTCCCCTGGTGTAGCAGACGGTGATTTTGAAAGGGGTGTGACTACAGTATACAGAACTTGGAAGAATATTCAGTCAGTAGTTGGGATAGAGCACAAGACAGGGGCAGGGAGGCCGAG